TCCTTAAATTTTTTTCCTTTTTTCATATTTCTTGCGTAAATGTTTTCGTCAGCTGGCAGAATTTGCATTTGCCAGTGTAACGCGCACTTCAAAGATGCAAAATTACTGATGCAAGACTTTTGTTTATGTAAGTACCAATTTTTGCCTCAGCCAACTTAGCAATAGCAGCGGCAGACTGACAGAACCTTTAACCGTAAGAGCTGTTCTTCATTGTTCTTTAACTGTATTCTTGCTCTTACATGTTTAAGTGTCCACACCTGTATTAAGTTTTCGTATTTAACTAACCATGAATTATCAAACATTTAAGGATTATTTTGAGATGTATTGAGACATAATTCAGCCAAGACGCCTGAAAAGCTTCTACAGTAGTCAAAACTATTTTCCAAGATCAAAATAATGAAAAAAAGCAGACGAAAATGGTCCCAGTTCCATGCGTGCAGCTCGAGTCGGACTACATCACACGACCGGCGGACGGCCGATGGACTAAAACAGTGATGGATTGGTACCGAGAGACTGCAAACGCCCAACTGGAAGACCTCAGATCAGATGAGGTAATGAGCTAAAAGAGATATGGAAGCCTGTGGCGACAAGTCGTACAAGACAGACGAACATGAATATCGAGATTGGCAGTCGTGATTCCCATTAATTGCGAAGATGGGTCTGTCACTATTGAGGTATCGCAACTTGCTTTGCACGAGGTCGAATATTGTGGCGTTACTGACTGAATTTTCTGCTATGAAACCAAATCATCATTGGTCGCGCATGGTCGATATATGACTTGTTAAGACTGTTTCGCCAAAACCTGTAGTTTCTGTCGATAGCGGTTATGCATTGCGTCGTAATTGATAGTCGTGCTCGAGAAAAAGATTTGCAGCAATTTTGACTTGTGAAGTTCGTAATTACCATAGTTTGTTGTGTGCCTTTGCATACTCTGCTCTCTTTGCATATGGCATAAAATAGCGCAGTTGAGGGGGTTCAGCGGTGTTAATTAACCTAACATATTTATGACTTCTCTGACTATACCCTAACTATCTGATCGCGCAGTTAGATCAGTGGTCAACTTTTGCATGTCGATGCCGTGTTGTCAGATCAAGCAGTAGTGCGTATGCATTTTGCGGGCTTCACTGCTTCACTCCATGACTT